GTGCAACATAACAGACATGTGGCATGGCTTTTTTTGCAGGGAAGTGACAGTTCCTCATTCCCCGTGGAAGAGGTAAATGGTATTGCAGTGTTTCGTTGGGTAAAGCAGTGGAGTAAGTAAATAACGTACTTACCTCCACTGCACATCTGTGTTTTGGGAGACTTTGCGTCCCCATGATGCATATGTGCGCCTGTGTTCATGCATGCTTGATCGTCAAAGGACAAATTTCATATGAGTGTGTGCACAGAGCTATCTCCATAAGTGCTGTACATGCACATGTGCCATTGTGTACTGCATTGCAGAGGTTAACTAATTTGTAAGCTTTGCCTGGTTTTGCTCCGAAAAGCATGCAAACTGAAATGAGTGAAACTATAAAGAACTTAAAACAAAAGGAACTAAACCGAAATCATACATTTATATCGCAGAACTCCTAGCTTGCACCTACACATTAGGAATTGTGGGATGTGGCCCATTTAATTTGAGGACTAGGCAGTTGGAGATACACAAACCAAAAGTCACATCCATTGTGGAAATTAATTATTTTCCTCCCTCTGATGCATCTCAGACTGTGAGACAGCAATCATCCCTTGCTGTTAGTGCTGGAGCTGGCTGTCTCTGCGTGCTACTTAATGCAGGGACAGCTTCGGGAACTATCCTGCTTTCTGTCATGTTATCCTGGCTCACTATGCTGTGATACTATATCACATCCTCCCATCTTTGTGTGTAAAAATGAGGTAGACAAGGGAATTACAGAGGCTGTCTTTGCCAGTGCGGCATGCATGCAGACACAACATGCTTTTTTTGCAGCTCATGAGGGGCAGTCAGGTTAGATCTTCAGATCTCTACTGAATGGTAAAGAAAAAATGATCAGCACCAGGTCCTATTACATTGTTGTCAAGGAAACGTGCATTGACTGAGCCCTGTCACATAGCTACTTTTACCATTGTGGTAAGCATTGCTTCCCTTTGTGATATTTTTCACAGGAGAACTTATAGCAACCTCAGTCAAAAACGCTTACAGTGGGAGCCAGGCTTACACACCTCCACAGCTTCGCTTATGATGGCCTAATACCGATAAGCACGGCCACGGTACATATACGAATGACTGATTGTTTGCAACATTGTCTTGATACCTGAATGTCGCATATGTAAAAACACCTGTCTTGAACTAAATAAAGAATTTATAAAAAAAAAAAGAACTTTTAGCTTCAGAGAGACAGGTGAGCCTTGCATTCTAAGCTATGAAAAGAGCATAAGTGGTTATGGTGCATGGAGTAAGGCATTCTCTTGTACCTCCTGCACTTTGAAGTACCCATCCAACATTATTATTTTCATGACATGTTGTGTGAACCACACTAGAGGAGAAGTGTAATACTGGCCGATGGAAGTGAAAGTGCAGAGAGCGCAATAAACCATCTGCACTTTCTCCAACACCAGTCAGCATTACATTTCTCCTCCACCGGGACTTCACAGTGAGTGACCTCAAGAACATGAGCACAGAGCCACTACGCTATTACAAAAAAGACAGACTGGTAATAAAATTATCAGAAAATGGATGAGCTTTGTGATACCTTCTTGTACGCGTCACTGCGCCATCCACTACCTCAACAATCATATCACAAGTCCTGCACATATTTTTGCCCCAGGCTCTGCAAGTATTAGGGATCCTGTTTGGAGGGACTCTTTAGATTACAAAAAGTGCATAAAAAACATTTCTTTATAAACCCATGAAAAACAAAACAATATTCAACTTGAATATTTGCTGTTTAAAATGATCAAGGTGAGAATGAAAAAAAGAAATTCAAGCATTCTAAAAGCAAGAGTAAGCATGTTTTAAACAAGCAGATGGAAACGATGATGTAAGTATTTAAGTCTGATTTATTTCTGTTTTAGACAGCCAGCTTAGTAATAGTGCTCAAGACAGTTAGACAGTAGCTGAAAAATCTAATGGATATTGGCATACAGAATATAGTGGATTTTTATAGATTCCAATGTCATTGTTAATATTTATTCATGAAACAATGTTTTATGCAGTAGACAGGTAAAAAACAAAATGTTGGGTTTAATCCATTAACCCATAAAATTGTACATATTAAAATATTGAAGTGTATTTAATAAATACAGAGAAAGTAATAGCTGTGATCTCAGGTCACATTTTAAACACATTTTTTTTACAGTACAACAGACATATCCAAGTTGTTGTCATAGATCATATAGATTAGCCTACATTGCTAGAACTCTATGGAATGTACACTTTACAAAACAAAATGTAGGTATGGACAATATATTAATGTCCTTAATAGGCATACTAGTCAAAATAAAGATCCAGACGATATACCGGATTTATTTTAATATGGGACATGTGACAGCAAAAGACACATTTCACTATTGGAGCTTGGAAGTTTTTCAAGATAAACAATAAACATGCTGGTTTTTAATTCAACATAAAGTGATTTCACCTTTGACTTAGTAAAATTATGTGAGACAGTTCTTCCAATTTTGACATTCTCAATTCTGAAACGCTAGATTTTAAACTCATTGCTAAGTGGATTAACCCGATTTTTCCCCTTTTGCTCAGCTCGCTAGCTGGACATCTAAAGAATGAGCAATTCAGTCACATAATCTGAATAAAGGTTGAACTTGTGACCATGTTGAACTTCTGTGTGTGTATATATATATATATATATATATATATATATACACACATACATACACACACAGAGAAATAACTCAAGCTCCAGCAAAACAGGTGAAGATCTGGCTGTAACAGTGAAGCTCAGCATGGGAACATCACATGAGAATCTCCCCCCACCCCCACTTTTCTTTTCTGTGTCTTAAACCATCACCTCCTCTAATCCCCAAATAACTCACTGAAGTTTCAATGCCTATAGCTCCCAATTGATTCAGGATCCGAGGATCTTGAGGAAGAAGTGAAATGAAAGAGCAGCTAATGAGCTGGGAGCTGAAGTTCTGTAGAGAAAAAAAAAAATGAGACACCATCACATTCTTACCTTTGTTTTGAGAAGAAACCAGAACAATGTATGAAGTATAAAGTAGCAGGACCCCAGTACACCTGCAATAAAAGAAGGGCAATTTAAGCAACATACACAGAATTAAAGCACTGTTAATGTAACACAGAGAACAGAGTTAAGACAAAACTGGAGAACATGAACACTTGCATTTTGGGAGGCAGAGGAGAAAAGGCAAAAACAATACAGTGTTGTTAAAACAGCACTGCAGACAGGAGACTAATGACGCAGACAGGATACTGATGGAGGAGTACACAGAGATAGCATTGACGCAGTTGTGGTATGTACATAAGAATGTGAAAATAGCAAAATCTTAGGGGATCAATGTTTTATAAGGAAATTCTGCCAATGAATGCAGTGGTGATGGTGGTAGGGGTTAATAGAGCTATTCAGGGTCAAAGTTCAAAATGTGTAGCCATGAGCAGTAACATTCCATTGTTTCCATGGTGATAGCGCCACTTGTAGAACTTTGCCCCAACATTTGTTCATCATACATAATCACATAACGTTCAATGTAACACAGAGTATGGTCCTTTTTTAAAAAGGATCCAAAAAAGTAAACTGGATTGAATGAAATATGACATTAATAAACTTTATAAAAACTCATGCTGATAAGATGTAATACTGACAGCACATGGGAAGAATCGTTTAACTCCTCTGTAGAACTATTTAGTGGTTTCATTTTGCCAGATTTAAAGTATTTTCCTTGTCTTACCTGAGAATCATCTTCAGTCTTGAAGCCGGGGAAGATTAGAGAAGTCAATGTGCCCCCAGACACACTATTTGCACTGCACACACTCACACCCGGCTGTGCACTGCTTTGTGATAAGAGTGGAGGGTGCAGGGCAAGCAACTGGCTGCCGGGTCCTAGCGCCTACCTCCCCCCGCCTCTCATCTGCATAAGGGAGTGGTAGTTATTAACCTGTACTTTGCATCAGTCCTGGGCTATTCATTTTATCCTATTAATCCTTAAATATCGTCTGAGGCTATTGTTACCCCTGACTATAATAACAAAGGATTAAACCTTAAGGAGTTGTTGTTCTTTACACTCCTAACAGCTGGAGTTACTATATATTAACCATATATATATATACCGGTATATATACACACACACACACACACACACACACACACATTAATTTACTATATATTAACACTAGAAAACATATACGTTGTTTAGTGATATATGGTTTATTATAATTCTTTTGGATTATAAAAGTCTATTTTTATTTCCAGGATATTATTTGATTGTATTTAAATAGTTAGGTGCTCAATTGTCTTGCACTCAATTTGCTACAGATTGTAAGCTCTTTGACAGCAGTGTCCTTGCCTCTAGTTTCTTGTGTTTGTTCACCTTCATTTGTTCTTTTTAACTTGTTCTTTATGTGTGTGTGTATATATATACTGTATATATATATATATATACACACACACATTTATATAAAATCATATTCTGAAGTGACATGCAATGTAAATATATATTCACATCGTATGTCACTTCAGAATAAGTTACCACAGAATGAATTATATTAATAATTAAATACCCCCTGCCCACTCCAGCCACTTTGTAGCTCTGTGTCTGGGAATTCATTGGTTGTACTCTGGTAACATTAGTAATTTGTAATAGTGTAATCTACAACAGAGCAGGGAGACAGGAGGAGGGGGACAGGGAGGGGGTGAGGTGGCCAAGAAAAAAAGGAAAGAAAGAAAAGGGTGAGAGAGATGGGAGGAGGAAAATGAAAGATATGGTTCACTGCACCCTTCAACAGTCACATCGAATGCAACTATATCCAAAAGCAACATCAGAAATGCGCCAGTAAAGAGCAGGTCAGGAATTTATTGAATAACAATAGAACTTTTAATAATGGAGGACTCTTAATGGCACAGTAATGAACCCATTTTAGAAGACCTGTATAAAGCAGGTAAAAACAACCCCTTGTTTGTCGCAGACAAAAAGCTTTTTCGATGAAACCATTAATCTAAAAAAGCTACTTTTTAAGAAAGTTTATTTTAAAATAAGGTCTTAGTAACATGTCAGTCATACGTTTCATGATTCTTCATGTTGGCGTGTACGGTAAACGCCTGGTTATCATCCATCTTTCTGTGACTTTGGCCACAAGACACCTCCACAACCCATTCTCCTAAAGCATGGCCATAACTATTCCTTTGTTATATATAGTTAATGAATTTAGAAGAATTTGGCACTGCGTGAAGGTAACCCATTAATGCAAAAACAGAAAATAGTAATAATTAGAAGCCTTCTGTAGCAGTTATGGTGCTATCAGGGGTATAATACCATCCCCCCAGTACTCTTGTCACCCTTTTTGTGCAGGTTGATACTAACCAAGGGTCTCCAAGGCCCGTTACTACACTTCCCACTTCCTTCAGTGCCATCCAGATATGGATGAAATAGATATTGCTAATATGGACGTGTGAGGGTCTGCAAGTGAGGGTCTGGGACATGGGTGCTTTGCGGACTCCTGGTTTGTGTCATACCTCCTATAAACAGCGTGACATAGAACCAGGGGATGGCACAAGTAGCCTGCTAGCAACATGAATATTAGATTTTAAAGTTATTTTATTTATGGTGCTTAAATAAGGCAGCTTTGGACACCGAGTGGGACTTTACCAAAGAGTCTTCACAGGGGTTCACCACTCAACACTGAAACAATGTCTGTTTTCCGCTGGTGCTAAAATGGTTCATTTACTTGTAGAGTCAAGGAGCAGAAGGTTTTTCTTTTAAATATGTACTTAGGAATGTTTGGAAAAATGCAATTGTGGGTGTTATACAGTTTAATGTTATATTATTGTTATTTGTAAAATGCTGACATTTTCCACAGTGTGTACAAAGAATTTCATGAGATATACACTAACTTCAACCATATAAGCTTGACTTACTGAAACAAGAGGTAGTGACGCCTTGAGCACACGAACTTATAATCTAAACATATGAACATTACTTAAAATGTGTACCTACTTACTGTAAGAAAATATGCCAACTGTATATAAATATAAAATACAAATTATTACCTGGAGTAAAAAGACTGAGGGCCAATGTAACCTGTTCACTTACTCCATTCATCATTGGCTTCAGGCCTCAGTTCGTGTTTCTGATTACTTACTAAATTTGCCCTTTTCCTCCATTGCTGGTTCCTGAATCTGTCTTTATTTCTTGACTACTCTTGTGGATCCCTACCTTATGCCTCAAACCTTGGCCTACGCTACCTGCCTACTCTCTCAAATTGGCATTGGCAAGATTTCACGTGACAAGGAGAACTAGCCAGTGTTGCCGGAGTGTTGGCACTGGAAAAAAGGTAAGATTATTAGAGTGGGGGCTGTATTTAATAGGGGACAGGGGCAAAGAGAAGTCTGACACAGAGTATCGCCCCAATATGACAACATAAAAACCCCATACATTATATATACCCAGGTTGTAGTGTCCAAGCACCCAATATGGGAAATTAGCTCCCTGATCCTTAATTCAGTGAAAGTTCTGGCCAACTGCGGCCAGTGGTCAAGCCGAAAATAGCTCCAAGCGGTTGGTCAGGAAGTGGCGCATCTGGGCTGGTTCTGTTCAGCGTGTTAATAACCAAGTTCTTAACTCAACTTCCACATCCTGAGACAGGTCTTGCTGTTTCACCCAAACCATGTTCCAAAGATTAGCCAGACCGTAGGTATCGAGTCTGAGGCATTGTCGAGTGAAGTTTTGACTGGGCATTGACCACCTCTCGATCCGGTGCAGGGCTCCATGCAATCATGGCAAAGTGCCAGTGTTTAAACAGATGTTTCTGTGGGCTGGAACGGGGGAGCTCTCCTTGGCTCTTCGGTAACTATTTGTTGATTCTGTGATCTCCTATACACACTCATGAGTTCATGAGCATTGCTAACCTTTGTTATATTCTTATGTATGTACTCATAGGTAGTTGATGTTTTATCCCATTTATTCTCTGCTAATATTACCACCATTTTCATCACTCATGAGACTCTTATGCTATAATATCTCTGCAGGATCAATGTTTTCAGTGTTTTTCCAAAAAATTTAATTTCCTTGATGCTCCATGTACTGTGCTTGCAACCACTCATTTTTTTTTTACTATCTTGTGGAAATGTCAATATGCATTTGTCTGTTTATCACTGCAAAAATTGTTAAGAGTGATTATTAGGACGTGATTGATACCAGCTAAAATGACCATAACTGTCTCACTCCCTGTCTTTGGTAAAACAAGCATCTCTCTTTTCTGGCAATTACCAAGCACAGGTTTGGGGCGCCCTGAGGTGGCCAGATGGCCACCTCCTGGCCCCCTGTGACAGGGCTCCTCTCGGCGCCCCCACCATCGGACGCCTTGAGGATTGGCCCGGCGCTGGGGGCGGCTCAAGAGCTGCTCGCCCAGCGTTGCGGCCCCAGACAGGGGCAAGAAGTTCACCAGGAAACATCCCTGTGGGCGCCCCCAGCAGGCGGGTGCCCTAGGTGAATGCCCAGTTCGCCTAACCGTTTCTCTGGCCCTGATTCAACCATATAGCTGCAGAGCTCACAGATGTAGCAACAACAGTGGGGTATAGACATATGTGGAGTTCAGACACACATCTGTTCAGGTGAAGTTGAGGTCTTGTAGGATGCTCTGATATTTGCCTCCAGCAGCTTATCTAAATTAGTATATTTCTTGTTGGTAATTGCTTAATCTGATAAAGGTGTGTTTGTAAAAGATGCAGTATCCTGTCTGTAACTGTTCTGATAAAGTGAAGGCAGATCGGCCTATAAAATTTAACCTCAGGGGGAGTATGTGTAGTATCAGTGGCGTACACATGACCCATGGGGCCCCGGTGCGAAAATTGATCCGTGGGCCCCCCCGGCGCGCGGGCCGGGCCGCAACACATGGCGGTGGGCACCTGGTCGCAGGGGTTACAGGGCTGCGACCCCTGCGACCGCGGTATGTATGCCAGTGCATGCAGATGCACGATCCATATCCACCAACCCAACACCTAAAACCAGCGCTGCGTCCGATACAGAAACCCGCTGCCCAAGTCCCGCCCGACAGCCGCCCCGTGATTTCACAGTGAGAGCATTAGCGTCTGGCAGGAAAGCATTATGAATGCTTCTAAGCGTGACCGCTGGAATGCGCCACAAGAAGCCTTGTCACAAGTAAGATAAAGCAGCCACGGGAGGAGAAGGAGGAGTGATCGGAGGGAGGAGAGCTCTCCCCCAGCACACTGAAAAAGTGTACGCTTTACCCCTTCCCCTTTCCAGAGCCGGGCGGGAGGGGTCCCTGAGGGTGGGGCACCTCCTCAAGAGCCTGAGGCAGTGCCAGTGTCAGCGCATGTCTTCCCGGCACCCTTTATGTAGTGGTCCTTTAACCCCTTAAGGACCAAACTTCTGGAATAAAAGGGAATCATGACATGTCACACATGTCATGTGTCCTTAAGGGGTTAAAGGACCACTACAGACACCCAGATCACATCAGCTCAATGAAGTTGTCTGGGTGTCGGGTCCCTCTAGTTTTAACCCTGCAGCTGAAAACATAGCTGTTTCAGAGAAACTGCTATGTTTCACTGAGGGTTACTCCAGCCTCTGGTGGCTGTCTCACTGACAGCCGCTAGAGGAGCACACTGAACGTCCATAGGAAAGCATTGAGTAATGCTTTCCTATGGGCGGTTTGAATGCGTGCGCGGTCTCATTCCGAGCTGAGAGGCTGAGGGATCCCCAGCGCCAAGGGAGTCCGGCGCTGGAGAAAGGTAAGTGCTGAAGACACACACTCTCACATACAGACGCATACACAGTAGCTAACAGAGACACACTCAGCGACAGACATACATAAGCACTCACACACTCACTTACAAAACATACACTCTCATTGACAAACACACACTCACTAACAGACATCAAACAGACTCACTAAGACACACACACTAACACTCACTCTAACACTCACTCTAACACTAACACTCACACTAACACTCACACTAACACTCACACTCACTCTAACACTCACACTAACACTCACTCTAACACTTACTCTAACACTCACTCTAACACTCACACTCACTCTATCACTCACACTCAAACTCACTCTAACACTAACACTCACTCTAACACTAACAAACACACTCACTCTAACACTCACTCTAACACTAACACTCACACTAACACTCACACTCACTCTAACACTCACTCTAACACTAATACTCACACACACTCAAACACTCACACGTTTTTTTGTTTTTTTAAATTTAATCCCCCCAGCCTCCTTACCTTTTGAAGTGCTGGGGGGATTCCCTGGGGTCCAGTGGTGCTGCTGGGCTCCTGGGCGGGTAGCCGGTCGGGCAGGCAGGCGGGCGCGCGAGGTGCTTCCTCTTCAGCTCCCTCACGCGCCGCGTAGGGATGCCGGCGCCGGAAGATGACGTCATCTTCCGGCTCCGGCATCAGTGCGGTGCGCGAGGGAGCTGAAGAGGAAGCACTGAGTGCTCCCTCACGCGCCCGCCTGCCCGACCGGCCGCCCACCCAGGAGTGTGTGTGTGACAGCAGGGCCAGCCTGGGGGGCCCTGGGGTGGTCGGCTCCTGGGCCCCCCAGGGGAAGAGGCTGGCCCAGTGGGTACATATCGAGTCGCAGGGGCGGCCGGGCCCCCTGGTGGGCCGGGCCCGGTCGCAACCGCGACCCCTGCGACCCTGGTATGTACGCCACTGTGTAGTATGTGTTGTAGGCAACACAAAGCTACGTCTAGTTATGGGCCCCTGGGGTGGAGCATTTGGAGAGCAGGGTGGGCCAATGCTCCACTCCTCAGTTTATACACAACTGGGAGAAATCAGGTCCAGGCAAGAGTTTTTAGGAACTGTCTCCAACCCACTGCTCAGCTGCAGATAATCAGCTGCAGCAGTGGGAATAAACCCCTCCCTGCTATGCAGGTAAAGGGGGGATTTCTGGCTTCCTCCCGGGAAGCAGGTTGGAGAGGGGCAAAGAGACTGAGCACTGGGAGTGCAAAAGGAAAGCAGTCAAGGCTGGCTTGGAGCACTGGGAGTGCGGAAAAGAGAGAGAATTCTGTTTATTTCTAGAAGGAATGGAAGCCACATGCTAACCGAGTGTGGAGTGCAGAGATCTGACAAAGGCACTAGGTTGGTGAACCCAAATATTATTTTGTTCTAGTTTAACCCTTGAGAGATAGGGAACTTGATGTTAGTAAGTGCTCAGACCGAGCTAGGTGTTTGTTTATAGGGATTTGTATTACTGTTTTTTCATTTGCTGCTGTATCTGTGGTGGTGTTTAACAATAAAGTGCCTGGAAATAAGTTGCCTTAAAAGACTGTGCATGTTTGTGCCCAAGAGGACCGTACTATCTGCAGACAAGGATCACACTGTGCTCTGAATTTTATCCTCATATTACGCTTTATCCCTCTTGACTAACTGCCAAAGCAACAAAGCCAAAATATATATATAAAAAAAATACAATAAATACAACTGAAGGATAAATAAACATAAAACAAGCTGATGAGCGGTCAATTCCAGCTAATCGGGTTTAACAATCTGTAATGTCCCCTTGTAGAATCTACATCATGTGTAGGCAAACTTCGGCACTCCAGATGTTATGGACAGCATCTACTAGAATGCTCTTACAAGCTGACAAAGCATCTGGGAGATGTCCACAACATCTGGAGTACCGAAGGTTGCCTATTCTACATCTTCATTAAGTGATGATCTGTACAACAGTAAATATGGATTTTCATTGCACTAAAGGTGAGAGTTTTTTGCACTAAAGTAAAATAAATATGCTTATTTAAATGTATTTTCATTTATAAAGTAATTTAATGTATATCATATTTTTCTAATTAAGGTGGCACTCTAAGTACCATGACTGTGTGCTGTGGTAGTTATGGAACAAGAATGACTCTGATCTCATGATCCATAGCCACTAAATGTAAAAAAATAGGCATCATCAGGTGTTCTTAGAAATTAAGATGGAGAGATGCAGATACACCCATTAGATGTGTTTTCTGCAACTTAGTTGGAATGTATGTGACTATACGCATTGGGAAATTAGCTGTAACATAGCAAAATCTGATGGAAATGAAGAGATCTTTGTTCTTTATGTGGCCAAATATGATTACTAGATATGTGCAATGAGTTTAGTTTCGAATGCTTCTGAATGTCCAAACTGACAAATTTCGGAAGTGCCAAACCGAACCGAATTGCCGAAGTGCCGAATTGCCGAATTTCGGCAGTGCCAAACTGAATTGCCGAAGAGCTGAATTTCGGAAGTGCCGAAGTGCTTTGGATTTCTGAAAAGTGACAAAACAAGAGACGGAAGGAAAATGACTGGAATGATGACAGGAATCTAACCCTACCCCTAACTCTACCCCTAACTCTACCCCTAATCCTACCCCTAATCCCAACCCTAACCCTACCCATAACCATACTCCTAACCCTAGATGTGTAAGTGGTTGTGGTAGTTAGGGGTAGGGTTAGGAGGTAGGGTTAGGACAAGGGTTAGGGGTAGGGGTAAGGCTTAGGTTTAGGGAATTGCCAATGTCCCAAATTGCCAAAGTGCCGAAATCTGGAAGTGCCGAATTGCCAAAGTGCCGAACCGAACCAAAGTACAAAATTGTCAAAGTCCCGAATTGCAGAAGTCATGAATTTCGGAAGTGCCGAACCGAACCAAATTTTTTGCCCATGCACATCCGTAATGACTACATCGTTACACCCAGCATTTATAGAAATGATCCTGTTTCAAATGTCTGTGATAGTTCACAGGGCCGGACTGGCCCACCGGGATACCGGGAAATTTCCCGGTGGGCCGCGGCACCTGGGGGGCCGGAGAGAGAGAGGGAGCCCTGCTCCCTTTACTTTAATAATATCGCGGCCGCCGGCCGCATGTCGGTGCCGCCGGGTGCCGGGTCCGGCGGCACACTCTGAGGTGAATACTCACCTTGCCGGTGGCCCCATCTCCCGTGCTGACAGCTGTCAGTATCAGTGAGTGTGCCGGGCGTCCGCCTAAGCGATCCAGCAGCACACTCACTGATACGGACAGCCA